TTGATATGAAAATATTATGATATAACTAGATAAGATTTTAAATTAGTATTTTATTAATGGTTGATAATTAGAAAATAAAACAAGGATAAATACATTTTTTGAATTTTATATCTTAGATTTAAGATGAATAAATAAATTAAGTTAATTAATAATTTATTTAAAATGTTAAAATTTAATTTATAAAAATAATATTTTAAAAGAGAAAGGTTATAATAACACCGGTGTAACTTTTACTAAGTATTACATCGCTAAATAACTTTATATTAAATGTGAATTTTATAAATTCAACCGTTAGATTGAAAGTTTTTTACTCTTAGATCATATATACAAAATTTTATATTAATTCAAGATGATTTGATACTTCATTCTTGTAAAACAAAATTGACGTAATATATACATTTCAAAATATAATAAATATGAATACTTTGATTACCTTCAAGTTGTTCAATTTTAACAAAATTTGATATAAACATATAGTAATATGAACTTTCAATCCAACGGTTGGATTTGCAAAATTCACATTTAGTATAAAACTATTGAGCGGTGTAATACTTAGTAAAAGTTACATCGGTGTTATTATAACCTTTCTCATTTTAAAATATATAAATTATTATTTAAACTTTTAAATTTATAATAAATAATTTAAATTGTATCATAATATTAATTTTAAATAGAAATAAGTAGATTGTTAATTATAAAAGTAAGTATATATATAAATAAAGATTAATTAAATATAATATAATTATTATTAATTAGTAATATAATTATTATATATTTATAATGGTTTGGACAGACCGAAATGAGAGGGAACCAAAGATAGTGTAAGTATGAGATTGTATATTTGAGAATGAATTAAATGAATTAATTTGTACTACTTATACTGACAACATGTATTTGCTTTTCGGTAGCTTATCTCATCAGAACTCCACAGTTAAGTGTGCTTGACTTGGAGTAATATATATAGGAATGGGTGACCTTCTGGAAAATTTCCTATAAATTGTGTAAGTAAGGACAAAACATGCTAAAAAGTGAAGTATTGTGAAATAGAATCCTTGAGAAGAATAGCAACCGAATTTGAGACATCTATAAAATTTAATAAAATAAAAAATAAATATTTAGCGATTGATTTAGAGACAATTAGTGTCTCGGGTGCTTTAAGGGTCGCAATTTCAATTTTGCGACGGTTTGTGCAACACGGTTCCAGCAACCATCGCAAAATTCACTCGTGACGAACATTTTTGCAATAGTTGGTGAACCGTTGCAATGGTGTCTTTGTGGTAGTTCTAACCGTCGCAATGTAGGCCATATAATTGTCGCAAAATCGTCATTGTCTTGTAGTGAATGCTTATCATTTGCAACTTCCTAACCACATTCACATTTTAGATGTTTTCAATAATAAGAAACTTTCTAGTGATACCTTTTTTGGGAATGAGTTTCACATATGGTTTGAGGACAAACCTTTTTCACTTGAAGATGTTGAGCACAAGTTAATTGGAAGAGTTAAAGATCCATACATTGCATGTGACAAGGATAATTTTATTTGCCAATAAATGAGGCAATTAATTTTATGTATTCAAGGGAGATTAAAATGACATAATGAGTTGAGTAACTTTCTCATTTTTTCAACTTCTCAAAATTTTGTAGAATCAACTAGAAGTTCGATCAGCCTCACCACGAACTTCGCATAAAAAATTCTCATAGTGGTTAAGTATCACCCATCCATAACCATATTAAAAATTTGGTTATGGAAGATTGGTGACTTGGCATGAATTTATCATCCCTGTAGTAACATTGAGTTTGAGATAGACATTTGATGGGCAATTAGGTTGAAGTGCTAGAAGTGTTAGATGTTGTGGCAAGGCTAGAAGGTGTGGTTGGAGCGTTAGTCTCAGCAAACTTGGCAAGTCTAATGGCTTGACGGCTTGTGTACTTAAAGAGAGGGTCCCCTTAATATTTGTGGGGTTGGTGGGAGGCATCATAAATGCACCAAAATGATAGACTAAACTACTAGCAAGATAAATAAAACCTATAAAAAAGGAAATTCATCCATTCATTAGATAACCTCAATGGATACTGAACAACTTATTTATAGTAGGAAAAGATCATAGGAAGAAAATCTACCTCATTCATGTGGATAGGCAAATGAACAACACCAATAATGAAATAAAATATGGGTTAAGGACAAAAATCTTTGAACCATGAAAGAGAGTTACACTTGCAGTTGGGCCTAGCCCATGGCAATGGTTGTTGGGCTTTAAGGTCTCCAACATCACACTTATTATATCTATGTATCATAGTACTTATGTTGGTGAAGTCTCATTTAAGTCTTCTATACTATATACTTAATGATATGTTATCTTAATTTGAAGAAATTATTGAAAGGAACTCTATAAAGTGAGTTGTAATATACTCGTTCCATTCCTTTTTTTTTATATTTTTTTTTTTTACATTTTAACAATTGTTTGTTTCAATTTAATTATCATTTTATGATATTAATACAATATTAAATATTTTTTATTATACCCTTAATCATTATTAATACATTTTTAATTAGTAGTGAAAATTCCAAAGACTTGAGGGTATACTGAGAAGTTATATGATTTTTTTTATGAAATCAAGTGTATTAATTTTTTTTTTTTAAATCTCAAGCCAAAAATTTTAAACGTCAAATAAAATGAAATAGAATGAGTAATCAAGATGAATAACTAAATCATTAGCAATAAATTAACAGTTAAAATAATTTTCAGAGCTAAAATACGAACAACTATGATTGCATATCGAATTTTCATGGACTTGTTTGTATGTATAAAAATGCTATATATTAAAAGTATTTTCGTCATAGAAAAAACTAAAGGCGATTTAGAAAAGGCAAAGTTTCCACCTTTGATTCATATATTTCATTCACTTTAAAAAAGAATTTGTAATATTCGTAAACTGACAATGGTTTTAAGCAAAGAATAATTAAAACTTCACAGGTCATGAAAGAATTTAGAAAAACTGGCACCATAAGCAAAGAACAACTCATTCCAAGTTCGTATATATATATATATATATATATATATATTTACAAGTTCAATTTTCTTCTGCAGGCTAGAGCTAAACGTTTGAGTACAACTTGCGCTACACCATTTTGATTTTAGGGTATGCAATCATCTTTCTTCACCAGTTTGAATTCCAAGAAAATAACTGGAAAAACATACATAGAGACATTTAGTTTCACCCAGGTAACAATATTTCAAACCTTTTGTATCTCAAAATATTCATGTTTCAATCTATTATGTATTTCGGATTATGTTTGCACACACACCAAAGAAGTGTTTGGTACTTTCTTTTTCTTTTTCGTTTTATTATTTTCTCGACTTCTTTGATACGAGGAAAGTTTTAATTTTTCAATAATACATATATGATGTTGATAATGTTAGTTTTCTGTATGTTTGATATTCAAATATCTGTAGAAAACATTGTTTCCATCAATTTTTTTTTTATTGTTTTCCTCCTAAAGTTGTTTTTTTTTTTGTAAAGATAAGAAAGATTATAAAGATGGTTGCGATCAGGATTAAACCTAGGTTCTCATGTTTCTAACTACCTCAACCCCTCCCCACCCAACTACTAGGCTAACCCTAGTAGTAGTCTCCCAAAGTTGTTTACTTTAGTGGTGCAGATCTAATAACCTTTTTAATTTTAGAGGAAAGTTGTAATAATGTAAAAGCATCATATAGGTTTTAGTATTTATTTTTCAATGGAAGCATTTTAGAGTTTTTCTCAAACGGAAACAATTTTAGGAGGAACTATTGCTGTCATTGAGACACATGTTGTATCTTAATCTAACATATTAAGCCTTTAGTTTTTTATTTTTTTTAAAATAGTTCTTTTAAATATACTTATTATTTTAAATTTTAAATTTGATTTGATTTAAGAATTAATTTTGGTTGAAAGTTAAATTCTATTTCTTTAAAATATCAAAAATATTAAAAATAATTTTATACAATAATATTAATTATTTATTATAAATATAAAACGTAGTTTATATGTTAACAATATAAATCAATAATTATATATTTTCAATTTCGAGGTGAGCGTCGTTGATTCATAGGGTAGAACCATATTTGACGACTCTACCTAGAAAGCATGCTAGTTTATTTTTAATATATAGAAGGAAATAGACAAAAAGAAAAAAAAAAAAACCAAGGAAAAGAAAAAGGAAAAAATATATAGAAGAAAAAGTAAATATACATTAATATTAACTCTTTCAACTAATATAAAAGTTGTTTACTTTAAGACACATTAATTTGTTCGAATTTTAGACTTTTGTCTTCTTTATTACTACGTAAATTGATATACTTTCCAAATGTGTATCAAGTAAATGATGTCAATGTTAGGATCGAGCCAGGTCATCTTGTGACACCCTTCTACCCCAACATTAATATACAACAAATGCAATAATAAAAAAAATTTTCTTTCTTTTTGAGTAAATAAAATCTTTCATAGTTGACAAATGTCTCAACTATCACAAGGTAGAAGATTCACATTCATAACTCATAAATATAACTCCAATGTAAAAATTACAAAAGAAAAGAAGTTAAGATTTTCAATACAATTTAGTGACAACAAGAAATCATATATATATATATATAATAATACAGGAAATATAAATTAACTCCAGCAAAGGTGACAGTGCCTCCTGGTTAGGAATTAATTTTATTTTCCAAATCATGTAATAAAAATATAACAAAGATATTCATTCTGGTCTTTTATCAAGAACGTTCAAATTTACAAATTCTTAACATACATTTTCCTTGGATTATAAACTTTATCTACGTTATCTCTTCGTTAAAAATTACAAAAGAAGAGAAACTAAAGTTATTAAAACAATAACATATTAAACTAAGCTAACTATGCCCCGATGTCACATCCTATCAGAGCATGCCCAATTGAAGCCTTTAAGCCTCATCACCAACATCCTCATGATGCTGATCACCTGCATCATAATTTAAACATATACAAGAATAACAAGGGAGTGAGAAACATCTCACTCAGTTTCAGGTGCAGAAATAAAGGTTA